GTGCTTATTGAGCATTTTAAAGGAACATATAATTTATTCTTACTGGGTTCCTGGGAGGTGACTCAGGTCCCAGGTTCCCAAATCAGTGGTTGTGTTTTAATTGCCTGTTTGGCCAAACAGCCTCTGCTGCCTATGCACACCGGCACAGTCATTTATCAATTGTTGATTAGGTATCACCTAACTACACACAGAAGGAGTGTGGGTGTGGACTTACATATTCAGTGAATACTTTGTTCCTGATACTGCTAAAGGAAATATTGTGTGTTCAAAATAACTGTTGCTGTTATAAAATGAAGCTCACCATACATTTTTTGTTTCAAATTTGTGGTCAATAGCTGTACATAACACAGTAAGCCCCCATTACACTTCATACACCAAGAGCTTATTACACTTTCTGAGTTAAACTTGACATATTAACAGATTTATTTAAGTGACTTTTTAATCCTAGGCATTTCTTAAATTGGCTTTTATTTAGATTGTATATCTTTGATGTCTTGGCCTTTGCTGTTACTTAATATTTTGGCCTCACTACAATATACTGTAGTGAGGCCAATATTGTACTGTTTAATCCACTTCAGAAAACTTCAGTTACTAATTACTTTCACAATCAGATTCTTCTTCTTCTTTCGGCTGTTCCCATCGGGGGCCGCCACAGCGAATCATCTGTTTCCACCTAACTCTATCCTCGGCATCCTCTACTCTCACCCCAATTAACTTCATGTCCTCTTTTAGCACATCCATATATCTCCACTTCCTCTTGACCTCTTGCCTGGCAGCTCCATCTCCAGCATCCTTCTACCAATATAACCACTATCCCTCCTCTGCACATGTCCAAACCATCTCAATCTGGCCTCTCTGACCTTGTCCCCAAAACAGCCGACCTGAGCTGTCCCGCTGATGTGCTCATTCCTAATCCTGTCCATCCTGGTCCCTCCTAAAGAGAACCTCAACATCCTCATCTCTGCTACCTCCATCTCTGCCTCTTGCCTTTTCTTCACTGCTACAGTCTATAACCCATACAGCATAGCTGGTGTCACTACTTTCAAAATCAAATTAATAATACAGTATAAGGTGTTATTGGTCCCAGCAGTATGCAAAGTACTTAAAATTATAAGGTTTACCAGCTGCACCATTATAGTGGTACACCTCAACAATACATTCGTGTGAACTATGCCTTTCTGCATAAAAATACTTTAATTTGTGCAAATACTTTTGAACTTGTACTTAGGTAACATTTTGAATGCAGGACTACTTGTAACAGAGTACATGTACTGTATGTGTAACCCTGCGATGTTGTTACTTTTCTTAAGATGCTTTCCCCAGCACTGCATTTAGGTTCTTTTACCCACCAGGTGTCAGTAGCCTACTTATCTTACTTTATATTTTAAATGCAAACAAAAGATGTGCATGGATCCCAAATATTTTTACTTGCTAATTAATAAAATAAGCCAAAAAAGTTTAGTATGCCATAGCATTACAAGAGTACAGCTGCAGCTGAACCTATACCCACCTCACTTATGTCTGCATCATTCCTTAATTACCTTCCTTTCACCACTGCTTTGCAAATTATTTTATAGTACATGATGACCAAATGTTTTTCAGGATTCCAAGAACCATTACTGACAGTGAGACCTTATAACCAAACAGAAAGGGATGCATTGATTAGTGGCCTATTTTTCCTGTGGAACAGCTGAGGCGGAGGGAGATGCACAGAGCGGACAGAGGGGCGGTGCTCCGTGTCCTCCAGCCACCCTCTCAGCTCATCATCAGCGTTTGAGCGGAGGCAGATAGGAGGGTGGAGAGCCGGGCAGGAGTGACTTTACAGTAAATTAGAGGAGTCAAACCATTGATTTGAAAAGCCAGACCTTATGTTTGTGGATTTTTCTGCATTGGATATTTTCTTTATGTGGCCGCACAGGAGGAGGGACATTTCCTTTTAGCTAGTTGTGAGCTTTTTTCCTTTTTGGCAGTAACGGTGCTTTTCCCAGAGTAAACCGCTAGCATAAAACCATACCTGACAGGTCTCATGTAGTTTGTCTTTACTCGCTTTTGTAGGACATTAGCTAAGCCCGAGGAGGCTAAATTTGAGAATGCATTTTGCTAAGGGGTTTCAACAAAAAAATGTGACTACTGCCCCCCCGTGATGCAGACAAGCCCTGTCGTTGTCATTTGTCAGCTGGGTCGTGTGTGGAGAAGACTGTGGATTAACGTTTTCCTTTCTTCCTCCGAGAAACCACGAACGTCTTTCAGTGCCCTTTAGCCAAAATGAGCGTCGATTTAATTGAATCAACTACACCAGTGGAGTCTTAACAGACACAATTTTCCCCGAGGAGTGCACATTTTTCCATATCTGCTGAAATAAGCGGCGCCAATTGCCTTGGGAAATATGGACAACGAGGTTTTCACCCCTTTGCTGGAGCAATTTATGCTGACGCCTTTGGTCTGCTGGGTAAACTCCCTAATTAACTATTCAAATGTGGCTAAAGATACCAAATTAAATACCTAATTAATTAACTGCCTTGTCCTTACCCCGTGGAAGCATTTCCCTTTAAGTGTTTATTGATCTTAACCCACATTTGTATTGTCCCATGTATTTTTCCAGGTGAAGACAGTCGGGCGGCCGACAGTGACCGATGGCACCAAATTATCGGAATATATTGAATTAGTGGATGGGATTTATCTCAACGAGATAATGCTTGAGATGTAAGTAATTTGAGATAGTCAGACATGTTCATATGTCCCCGCAGAATCAGCCAAATGAGGGCATTCAGACATGTGCCCTGGTCCTCAAACGCACCATGTTAAGAAATTTATGTGTCAAAGCCTTACATGGTCTAGTATCCACGTCCAGTAGTTGGATAAATATGGGGATCTTTTGCTTAATATACAGGCTGTATATTAAGTGTGGAAGAGGGCTAAAATGATACTTTCCTTGGGGTCTTTGAAGGGTGATGCCCTGATGAAGCAATTCTTTAAGAACTCCAGACTCTGCCCAGCACTTAAATTGAATGTAGGCACACAAAGGGACATTGTATTGGGGGTATATGACAGGACGCACTCAGAAATCTGTGTGGACAGTTATTATTGGGATCACTTAGAGCTGTGTAGATTGGGTCCCTGGTGCAAGAAGGCAGCAAGCATCTCCACAAATTCAAATTACCCCCCCGAAATCATCTGCAGCGGACTGTTAGAAACCGTACCTCTGGAAGCTGCAGAGCTCACTTTTCATGTTGTGGTGTAGATTGAAGTAGAAATAGTGGAGAAACGGTGTTGGCAGTGCAGGATCTAGACGCAGACTATACAGCATTGCAGTAGACTAGCATGGACATACATTTGTTTGTTATTCATTTAAAAGGAAGTAGATGCTTTGGCAGATCTCTTGATGGTGAGACACAGTGGCTGCTGGAGGAAGCTGGAGACCTTACATGTCAAATCTGCCTTTCCAGTCACTTGCTTAGATATGTATCATGACAGAAGGCAGCTTTCTGTTCCTTTGTCTGGCTCCAGGCAGCTGCTTCCCGCTAGCTTAACATTTTTTCACATTTTCCACTAATGCTACATTCTACACTGTCAGCATTTGCTGCTCCTGCTTGCCTGTCTGAAGGTTCAGTCAACCCTGCTCCCCATGGAATTAATTTTCACTTCTCAAAGAGATTATAATGTGTTGTACTTTCATGGGATAACGATTGATCACCTTGCCTTAGTATAAGTCTGCATTTAAGCCTTTCTTTTTATTTCTGTCTTAGCAGATTTTACTGTCCAGCCTGATTAGTTTTTACCATGGACTAGGCTGCAGCTGTGTTGCACGAGGAGCTGATTAACCCGTCTGTTTCCTGTCTCTGGTTTGTGTCCTCCTCCTGCTTTGCCATCTTCTACTGTCCTCAACCGCCTGCTGCTCTCCTGTCACT